TAGGGCGTATCCTGCTGCCTGAGTTCCCCTTGAGTTCTCACGGGATTCAGACAGTATATTTTGGAGATAGAAGCCCAGTGGAGGTGAATTTGGGAGAGAAGGAGGATTTGGGAAGAGAACGTGGATTTCCCCAGAACGTGATTGTAGACGGCTGGTGTGAGTTCGGGAATAAAGAGTTGCTGTTTGAATCTACAAGCTGTGTGGTGGCTCGTGATTGTGTGCCCAGCCAGACTGCGGCATTTGTGCCCAGCCAGACTGCGGCATTTTGTGGCCCGTACGGGGAACTTCTGAAGCTTAGAGGTAAGTGAAATTTCTCACCCCTGAGGAAGAGAGAAAGAATGGGTGAACATTTCAAAAAACAATGTGTTATTGTTTTGATTTATTTTGTTTTTATTTCAAGTTGCCTGTTCCTAGAACTTTCTCAGGCAAACTGGGGAAAATGGTTGACTCAATGTTTGAAGTTGTTTGCCTCCGAGCAAGAGAAATTGTTAGAGGAAGGAGGCACCCCAGTGAAACCAAGAACAATTAGGGCATATGTTGATACAATACAAAAATGTAGCCCATGGCTTTTTAAAGACGAGTTATTAAGTATATCAATGGGACCATCATGGTATCCTGTAGAAAGATTTTTCTTCAACAAGAAAGAGATGGCTAGTTCTGTTTACTACACTTGTCTAAGATCTTGGTTTTTACAGACATCTGATTAATTTACAAAGCTAAAGTGTTAAAATATCAACCACTAAATATAAAATCAAGTACTCTTACTTATTAAGTTCCATAAGGTAATATATTTAAACATTATGTGTGTTTTCATAAATTGGTAAATGGAAAAAGGTTTAATATTGCTTTGTGTCTGTGTCTTTGCTAAAACAAGGTTACTAAGAGTTAAGATTCTATCGTGTAATTTATATACAAAGAGTAGAAAAATTTTCAGTTGGGTTTCAATTATAGTATTATAGTATCATAAAAAACATGAAAGTCTTTCATCTTATTAAAGTGGAGTAATTTGTCTAAATCAGAAATTTTATAAGAGTTGTTTCAAAATGTGAATTTATAAAAAGGGTTAACGGTTAAAAAAGAGAGAAAAAAGATTCAAGATGTGGAAATATATTAATATAAAAGGTTAAAGGAAAAAGAAATGTTTCTAGATGAGATAATCTCTGTGTGGTAAAGTAAAAAGTTGTAAAATGCCATTTAAAAAGATTTTGAGGAAACTAGACTTACTTTAAAAGCTTGAGAAAAGAAGAAATAAAAAAAAGGTATTTGTACATGGCAGATTGAGACAAAGTTTCTCAATGGAGTTAAAAAAAAAAAAAAAAGAAGCCTTTGGTTGAAGGGCAGCTATGTAAACTAACATTGAAGCAATTTAAACAAAATCTAACCCTCTTTTAAAAGAGTGAAGCTGTAGGTGGTGAAAAAGTACATTTAAAAGTACAGTATAGATGATAATTAAAAGGCTTAAAAGGTTAAATTGAAGATGGTTAAAATGCCTTCATGATGGAGGAAAAAGGCTTAATCTTAAAGGCATTACTTTAAAAAAATGGGAAGATAACAGGATAAAAGATATTTAGATAAAGAAGATTAAAAATTTAAAGTGAAAAACTTTAAAGACAGAAGTATAGAAAGTTAAAAAGAATAAAGATAAAGAATATGTAGAAAGATAAAAAAAATGTAGAAAGACAAGAATTTTAAACCCACAAAATAGGAAACAAGAAAACTAGGAGAGAAAATAAGCAACTAAGGGTAAATATAAAAACCTTAGAAAAAAATTAGAAGATAGAAATAAGAAAAAATGGTTGAAAATGTCAAGTAAGGTATTACACAGATAGAAAATGCAAAAAGCTAAGACAACTATTAGATACAGACATATACTTATTAAAGCAAAAAGAGGGAATTGGAAAGGGGTATATATCCCCCAAAGTTAATCTTAAAATAACCCTTTTTACTCTAAACTTTTTAAATTTGGATTCATCAGGACTTAGTGCTGCGGAAAGGCATATGTATCCAAAAAATGTACATAAGCCTAAGGTACTTTGGAAAGATATTCTAACAGGACAATGGAAAGGTCCTGACCCAGTGATTGTCTGGAGTTGGGGTTTTGTTTGTGTTTTTTCACAGGGAGAACAGCAGCCCATTTGGATTCCAGAGAGATTAACTAAAACAATTTCTACAGATTGAAAAGAAGATGATTTGACTCAAATCCATAACAGCTGATATCCAGAGCTCCAGCTTGGCCATTCTTACATCTGCGATAGTGATTAACCAGTGATGCAATTTTTACTTCCTTGCCAGCGCACCCCATGTTAGTTGTGGTAGTGCTGGCATATCTTTGCTGATGGTGTCACCAGTGATGCAATTTTTCCCAAGGAGCCGTCAATTGGCTTGGTGTCGTGGCATTTCTGTATCCTCCTCCCTTCTGCTAGTGATGGTCTAAAATTTGGGGGCCAATGGCTTATGCTGGACCGGTAGTCAGTGACGGGTATGATCCAATTGCAGTGGTATCAACCTAAGACAGGAGGCTGACGCCTAAAGGTCAGTTTTCCGATGACGGGTAAGAACCATATGTTGAATTGGACAACCTACCAGGCACGGTCCTTAAGCCACATTAACCTCACTCCCCCACTGGCACCAAGGCCAAATTTGGGGGCCAACAGAGGTGAGGCAAAGAACCTCACCCCCCCACTGGTGCATAGACCTATCCACAAGTATGGCTGTATGCTGGACCGGTAGTCAGTGACGGGTATGATCCAATTGCAGTGGTATCAACCTAAGACAGGAGGCTGACGCCTAAAGGTCAGTTTTCCGATGACGGGTAAGAACCATATGTTGAATTGGACAACCTACCAGGCACGGTCCTTAAGCCACATTGCTTGTTGTTTAATTAATCAGAAGGGGGGAGATGCTGGGAGCCATTAGCCAAGTAGGTATGACAATTTCCTTGCCAGCGTACCCCATGTTGCTGACATGTTGCAGTGACATTGAATGTAAGTGACCTTGCTCAAGGACCAAGGCAGATTAGGGTGTTCCCGGTTTTAAGATAATCTTGTTTAGGGCGTTCCCAGTTTAGGTTCCAGGTTTAAGGTTTAAGATTATTCCTGCTGGGAATAGGGCGTATCCTGCTGCCTGAGTTCCCCTTGAGTTCTCACGGGATTCAGACAGTATATTTTGGAGATAGAAGCCCAGTGGAGGTGAATTTGGGAGAGAAGGAGGATTTGGGAAGAGAACGTGGATTTCCCCAGAACGTGATTGTAGACGGCTGGTGTGAGTTCGGGAATAAAGAGTTGCTGTTTGAATCTACAAGCTGTGTGGTGGCTCGTGATTGTGTGCCCAGCCAGACTGCGGCATTTGTGCCCAGCCAGACTGCGGCAAGAGGGTATTTGAAGAAACCCTCTGTGGTAGGTGGAATGTTGGGCCCCCAAAAGTTATGTTCATGCCATAATCCCCAGAACCTATAAATACTACCTTGTGTGGCAAAGGAGTGAATATTACTTATATGCCACACGACATGATTAAGGCAAGGAGCTTGAGAGGAGGTGTTTCTCCTCAGCATGGTACCTAAATGTACTCAGATGTACCTTTATAAAACACAGACACCTCCAGGGGACCTGTGGACAAAGAAGAGGCAATGTGGCCACAACGGCAGAGATTAGCTGTGGTCACGATAGAAGAAATGCCAGAACCCACCAGACACTGGAAGGGGCAAAGAAAGATTCATCCCTAGAGCTTTCAGAGGGAATACATCCCTGCGGACACCTTGATGTGGAACTTCTGGCCTCCAAAACTCCAAGAGGATACATTTCTGTTGTCCTAAGCCACCTTTGCCTCCAGGTCAAACCCCCCTCTCCTTTCTCTCACAAAGATACCAGCTATTATAGTCTTATCTCAAGATATTTAATTATATCTGCAAAGACCCTCTTTTCAAATAAGGTCACATTCACAGGTTCTAAGGATTAGGACTCAGACATATCTTTCTAGGGAACATAACCCAATTCACTACAGAACTATTTATATGAATTACTTTGAAAATCCATAATTATTCCTTCAGTTTTTCATATCTGTTTCCAAATGACTTCCAGAAAAATTTCTACACACTTCCACCAGCAATGAATGAAAGTGTCTACTTTCTCTGGGTCTTGCAAATGCTAAAAAGTATGCTGTATATACATATTGTATATGTTTCTGATAAGTCTCAACATCCAAGCAATGAGATAGTCTCTTCCTGAATCCACTAGACTCAATTTCAATGGTATGACCTTCGACTCAGGGATGGGACCCCTGATATAATTGTGGATGCAACTGACATCATCTATGGGTCTAATTATTTTATGAAGTTAAATATAATTATTGTAACCACATTGAAGCCAACATAATTGGATGGGAAGAAATACATGTTATATTAAAATTAAACTTAATTCTGAGGGTTTTCAATGATACCCCATATTTTTCAGTCTTGTTCTTTCAGTCACTACACAGTGTAATCACAACAGGCCCTGTTTCCCCCAGAACTTAGACATCACTGCCTGAGAAACTGCATGGTATTGTAGCAAGCATGTGGACCCTGGAATCAGAAAACCCAGAGTTCAAATCACAGCCGTGTCAATCATTCTCTGAATGGCCTTATTTTCCCTGCTCATGAATGGGGAAATAATCACCTCTCCAGGTTGTACTGAGAGTCATAGGTTATGCATATGAAGCACTGGTTGCAGGTCTGGCTCCAGTTAGACTATTGCAAGACGTGTCATTGTGCCTGCAGAACCATGTCTACGTTCTAGGCACCCAGATTCCCTGACTTCATCTCATGAAGGAGTCAATGTCCCATCTCACCACCTCTCATAAATTTTCTAAATGAACATCTTCTGACTTTCAAGTAAGCACAGGCCCAGCTAAGTGTGTGTGTGGTGGGGTGAGATACAGGCCTGGGAGCCAGTCCAGGTAGGTCTCTGGGGACTGCTGCTTTCACCTGCCTGAGAGAAGAGCACCAAGCCCCTTTGTTCACACACCTGGAAGAGGTTGGCAGCTTCCAGGACCCGTTGGACGTTCTGCTTGGTGATGAGCGCCTTGCTGGTGTATGTGTAGTCCAGGAGCGTGTGCATAGTCTCGGCGTCCACCCCTTTAATGATGATCCTCTTCTCATACTTTTCCTTTAAGTCATTGCAGAACATGGCCCTGGAAGAAAGATGAGTGAATATGAATCCTACTAGGACCCTTGATTCCAGACCTAAAGAGATCCTTTTTTAGACTTGTCTGTCCTCCTAGAACAGTGGGGGTCCCCAAGATCAGAACCCTGGCTATGGCTGTTTTTCCAGCACCCACCACACATCAGACATTTAGTCAGTGCTTCCTGAAATGAAATGTCCTGCTCTGCCAAGGCTAACTGTGGTCCCCAAGACCAGTTCCAGATCGATTTTATGGACTCAAAATGCTGGGGATCCTTCTTGGGAAATTTCAAAGCCTCATCTGTTCTTTCCTTCTCATTGCCCAGTACCAAACAGGGGATTTTTTGATGTTTATTTTATTTTTTAGTACTGGGGATTGAACCCAGGGGCACTCTACCACTGAGCTATAAACCCAGCCCTTTATATTTTTTGTTTTAAAATAGGCTCAGGCTGGCCTCAAATTTGTGATCCTCCTGCCTCAGTCTCCTGAGTAGCTAACTCAGTTCTCATACAAGCTCTCCTGTGGCCTGAACTTAGCCTCACCATTCAGAACCCAGCTTCCCTCCAACAGTGCAAATGGCTCTTGCAACTGCCCCTCAGCCCAGAGGTTGAACACTTGTCCATGGATTCCCAGGACCAGAACTCCTCAAGGTCATTACTCTGCCTCATTTTTTGGCTCTGATCCTCCTTAGGAATGAACTTTGCCTCTATCTTGAAAGCAGGGGAACAGGATTGAAAGAATGTTGATTTTAGCATCAGATGAATGAGGGTTTGAACATCAGCCCTACCAATTCAAAAATGGGACGTGTTTTTCATTTCCATGAGCTCCAGCTTTCTCATCTGTAATGGGGCTTTAAGAGCTATTTTTAAAGTTTGTTAAGGATTAACTCATTAACTAATAGATAAGAAGAAACACAGGCTTTTTTTTTTTTTCACCCAATACCGGGCTCATATGTGAATTGATCCTGCTCTTTAGGTTTTTTTGAGCTGCTAGTCCTCAGGGAATGTATGAGCAATTTTGTTTATTTTTAAAATGCATTTAAATCTTACTAGGCTTCTGAAAAGATTTCTGAAGTTCTGTAACCAAATTCTGTTTAAAGATGCCAAAAATATGGCAAGATTACGTAAATTTAAAATAGGAGGGAAGACAATAGAAAACCATGAATGGGAACATGAAACTAATCTGTGACTGAGGTCAAAATGCCCACCAACGTGGCTGCAGCACCATCATCACAGGTGATTCAGCCTACACATAAGAAATGCAATTCGGTTATATGCACAATTTCATAATCCTTGTGATAGATATTTTTAAACAAATCCAAATGCTTAGAAGAATTATGATTGTTAGCATTACATACTAGATGGAATTTCTCTTGGGGATGAATAACAGCCTCACAACATTCTTACCCCATGAGTCTGATCCTTAATAGCTGTAGCTGAGACAATTCCTTCAGCCCATTCCTACAAAAACCTGTTCACTCTTTGTGGCCCTTCCAGTAGGTGTGAGACCTCAGAAATTCGACAAGCTAAGACAGCACAGCTTATGAAAACCACTCCTTGGAGGCGCTGGAATTCAATTTCTTTCCATTCAACATGCATTTACAGAACACTCACTCTATGTAGGATACTGGGATAGGAATGAGACGGGTTTAAATATTAAGCAGTACTCTGAAGTGAATTGTAACCCCCACTCACTGTTCATATGTTGAAACTCTAACCTCCAATGTGACTATATTTGGAGATAGGTCTTTAGGAGGTAATTAAGATTAAAAGAGGTCAAAAGATTGAGGTCCTTATCTGATAGTATTATTAACCTTACAAGAAGAAGAAAAAGAGCAGAATCCACAGCCCCCCTCTCTTTCTCCCTCCCCACCATGTGAAGAAGACACAGCAAGAAATTGACCAGCTGCAAGCCAAGAAGAGAGCCCCCACCAGAACCCAACCACGCTGGCACCCTGATCTCACTTCCAGCCTCCAGAACTGTGAGAAAGGACATTTCTGTGGGTTAATCCACCCTTTCTATGGTCTTTTGTTATAGCAACCCAAGGTAAGATGGATTTGGTTGCTAAGAAATGGGGCGTTCCTATGACAAATAATTAAAAATATGAAAGCTGGTTTGGGACTGGGTAATGGGTGGAAGCTGGAGGGGTTTTGAGGTGAATGCTATAAAAAGCCTAGATTGCCTTGAACAGAATGTCCATAGAAATATAGGCATTAAAGGTCTTTCTGGTGAGATCTCACATGGAAATTGAGAATATGTTATTGTACATTGGAAGAAAGGTGTTGCTCTCATAAAGTGGCCAAAAAAAAAAAAAAAAACTCAACACTACAGTGTCCTAGTATTTTGTCGAAGGTAGAACTCTTATGTGATTAAATAGATATTTAGCTGAGGCAATTTCTGAGCAGGGTTGAGGAACAGCTTTCCTTCCTACTGCTTAGTAAAACGAAAAGGGAGAGTAATTAATTGGAGATGGATTTTTAAGCAAAAAAGGAACAGAAATTAAAGACTAGGGAAATTCTCAGCATACCAACATTATAAAACATGAGAAAGCACGCTCTGAAGGGAGCACCAAGGGCTATTATTTGATAAAATGACCTGGGGTGATAAAATACTTATGGGATTACATGAAACATTGCCAGTTTTAACTGAAGGGATGGAGGCTGGGCAAATGAGGAAAAGCTATTGAACTTGGACTTGATGGTGGGGGACAAGATGATTCAGGTACTCAACTGCCAACGTGCACTATTCCTCAAGAGGAGAAAACAATCACTGGAGGGTGATTTAGAGATAGAGCATAAGGGCCACCTGGTTCAATAGGTGGGACAGCCTCTGTCAAAGCTTTGAGGACAGGACTCCCACTTACAGGCATGGGAGTGATACTGCCACCTCCTTGGATCTGGAGGGCACAGCATCAAACCAAAGAGGATTATTCTCAATCCTTAAAATGAAATGTGATTTACCTTTCTAGGTTTGGCCCTTCCTTGGGAACTGCCACCTCTTCCATCTTTCCTATTTCTCCCCTTTGGAATGAGAATATCTATCCTGTCCCACTGCTGTATTTTGGTTTTACAGGTTTACAACTGGAAAGAAATTTTGTCTTAAGATGAGTTGTTCTTCAAATCTCACCCATATCAGAGTTAGATGAAATTTACATGAGACTTTGAAGTTGACAATGAAATAAACTAAGAGTTGGGGAGCTGTTGGGATGTCATCAATGTATTTTGCATATAAGAAGGGCATGACTTTAAAGGACCAAATGTGGAACGCCATAGACTGAACTATGTTCCTCCCAAAAGTCACATGTTTAAATCCTAAAAACTCCCAATGCCACTGCATTTGGAGACAGGGATTTAGGAGGTAATTAGATTAAACAAAGTCATAAAAATGATATCCAAATCAGACAGGACTGGTGTCCTTATAAGAAGAGAAAAAGATCTCCCCCCACCATTCACTTATATACTAAGGAAAGACCATGAAGACACAGGGAGAGGGAGGCCATTTACAAGCCAGGAAGAGAGCCCTCACAAAACCCCAACTAGCAACTTGATCCCAGATTTCCAGACTCCAGAAGTGTAAGAAAAAAAAATTTCTACTGTTTAAGCCACCGAGTATATGATATTTTGTTATAACAGCTCAGGTTGACTAATACTGACAGTCTCTATTAACCCCAAACCCTAATAGTTCACAATTTAGCAGGGATATATAGGCACAAACAAAAGGCCATAAAAGACTATAATGTGCTGTGGAAGCCAGGAGTGGCTGCTCATGGAGAAGGAAAATTTTGATATGTGAAGGTTATGGATAGAATTTGCAGGTAAAAAAACCACTATGAGTAGAAGGGACATAAAGAAGAAGGGCAGATAAAAGAACCAGCAAATACAGATGATTTCTAACTTATAATGGTTTGACAGGATTTTTCAACTTTACAGTGGTGCAAAAGGCATAAACATTGGGCAAAAACCATTCTTCAAATTTAGATTTTGATCTTCTCCCCAGCTAGTGATATACAACACAATACTCTCTGAAAATGCTGGGCATTGGCAGCGAGCCACAGCTCCCAGTCACCCATGTGAGCACAATGGTAAAGGGTCATTATAAGCGTCTACATGTGATTCAGCTGGGGTCCACAGATTGAAAGGAGGTAGTAAGAGGAGTCTGGGAAGGTAAACCTGGGTCCTGATTGTGAAAGGTCCTGGAGGCAGGCCAGGGCACTAGGTTTTTATTCAGTGGACAATGGGGAGCCGTTGAATGTCCATAAACAGCAACAGAACTCAGAGAGAACATTTTTAACAGGTATATTCTCACCATAGTTTGCTGGTGATGGATGCCCCTGGAGTCAAGAATTAACTGCATCCAAACAGAGTTGCAAGGCTTGTGACAATGCCAGGGACATTTCCCAGAAAATGTATTAACCGAGGCAGTAGGCTGCTGGGGAACTTCTCTAGCTAGTTTTCAATGAACTCTATAAGTCTCAGATACCTGAACAACAGGTACAAATGAATATTGCCTGGAGAATAATTATCTCCCAGTCAAATCACTGAAATAGGAAGGTCCCAGAGTGGAGCCCTGGTATTAAAAAATAGGGGTCCCCAAACTGGGACATCCATTTAGACACAGAGGGGATTATATCCTTATGTCCTGCTCCCCATTCCTTTCCCACACCTCCTATTTATCACGACTGGAAATAAATTGTCTTAAAATGAATTGTAATCACTCATCTGTTTCCCTTCCCCTTTACCTAATATGTAAGACAAAGGTAGATTGTGGCTTCCCAGGATCAAACATCCAAAAGTCCAAACACACACACACACACACACACACACACACACGAGGGTGGAGGGATCATTTGACTTGCTGACTTCTCAAAGCTTTTGTTTTAGCCAGTGAGATCTTGCCCTCTGGTGTCCCTCTGTCCTCCTTTCTCTGTCCTTTTTGCTTTAACCAATGATGACCCTCCCACCCCTCCTTCCTCCTTCTTCTTCTGTCTTCCCCCAACTGGCGTCTTTCTT